TGAAATGGAATGATCTTATTCAAGATCTGACAAACAATATTAGGCGCTTAATACCAAAATTTTATTGTGTTCGCAAAATCTTATCTAAAAATCTACTTATACTAATTTATAAATCATTAGTAGAATCACTCGTAAGATATGGTATCATTGCCTGGGGAGGGCTCTATGACAAAGTATTAAATCAATTGAATGTCGTCCAAAACTATATTTTACTTGTAATATTTTTTAAAGACAAACTTTTTACAACTATCCTAATTATATAATCATGATATTCTAAATATTCGATGTCTTTACTACCTTAGCAACTGTATATATGTCTTTAAATCTAAAAACTAAAAATATATAAATCATCACTACCAAACAAGACAATCTTAATAACATGATCTTGGTACCATTTAGATATATGATGCCAACCAGAGATTTACTGCAATCATGGCACCAAAAATTTTCAACATACTACCATTGAAGATTCGAACCACAATTGGGTATAAAAGGTTTGTTGAGCGATGTAAAATTTTTATTTTTGAGAAAAGAGAATAAATTGCTCAACTTTTGTAGTTTGTAAGTATACATATACGAGCATTGCATATAACAAAAAAAAAATAAAAATAATGACATAAAACGTCAAACATGAAAGAGCAACAAAAATGTCATAAAATGTTGGAAGTTCTTTGTGTGCTCGCCAAACGAGACGCGAGCACCACAAATACTCCCCCTCTCTAAATTCAAGAAATTATTTTCATTTGTTAATTGTTATTTTATGTTCCTCTTTTTCATATTTTTTGCCATTACCATATTATATAGTTCAGAGTAACTTTAAATCAATTTTAAGTCCATGTATTATTTTTATAAGTAGTTACCATGAAAAATTAATCCCCCAAACGATTTTTCAAAATTTCGATTTTAACAATAATTTTTTTAACAATGAAAATCTTGAGTACTTTTAATTAAAAAATTGATTTTTTTAATCAACCGTTAAAGATAAATTAATGAAATTTTCAAGATTTATTGTCAAATATCTATAGTTTAATAAATTATTAATAACTTAAAATTATTTGTTTATTATCATATTTTTAATTAACTTTTAAATAAACAAATGAAAATTTACTTGATATCTCGGTAAAAAAATGAAGTTTTATTTAATCGGTTACATGCATTATTTATTTAAGTTTAATATTCCGAAAGAAAATTTCACTGCTCGCTATTAGTTTAAACAATATGAATTTATTTATCATAGTACTCCGGGCGCCTGGTGCTGTCAGATCACCGCGCGGCCGAGCTTCTCAGGCTAAATTGCAGCTTCGGTCATTTATAATTAAAAATAACAATTCAAAATATTAATAATACATTTTATTCTTTCAAACAATATTATAAACAGTGCAATAAAATAATTTTTTATTATTATACTAAACAAAGAAAATAAGGAAATACTTTTAATTATAAATTTTACAAAACCGTGTTATTCTATATTTATTTTTACTTGGTAAATCAGTAAGCTATCATTTTTTAAATTTACTAGTAAGTACTTCATTTTGACTTAAAAAAAACTGCTTGATTACGATTTTCATTTGTTACTTACGTATCCACGTAAATAACAAAATGAGTTTAGTAGGCATTCCAGTTTATTCGTTAAATAAGTTAATACGCATTTCTTTATTTATCTTTTCACCTCTGAGTAAAGTTAAATGTCTGTTTACTAGACAGATTTACAAACAATAGCCCTATAGTTTAATCAGCAAGTAGTTACTTTCAACTTTAAAGACTGGCCCTTAGTCTTTTCTCTTACCTGTCGGTACTTGTCCATTGGCTAAAAAATATTTGTTTTACCTCATAACTATCAATTAATAATTTTAACTTTTCAATAACGAAATCAACTCCTGGACACTTTTTACACATAGAAAAAAAAAACAGGATGATGTTGGTCATTTGAACTTTCAAAGAAATCATTTCCTTTCTTTTTGGGTTCATTTTTCAGTCCATGTAATTGTAAAAAATACATTTTGGTGAATTTTGCATACACACACATTATGTGTTCTTTTTCCAGCAGAAATAATTCCCGTGGTCTTAAAGTTTGAAAGAGACCAATTTTCTCACAAGTAAATGCTTGTTTAAATTTTTTATATAAATCATTTATGTTAACTAATAAGAATCTTTGTTTCTGGATTTTTACCATTTTTTTAAAACCGTAACATAATCTTTAATTCCAGGCATCACACAACTAACATCATCTGATAAATAAAAAAAATTACGCGATCGAGTGTTGAATCGTCCAAGCTTTTACCTTTTTTAGTATCAGGCTCTGGCGCAAATCCTGATTTTTTCTAATATTTTTCGCATCTTGTAAAATTCTCTGCCAAATTTTAAATTCCCGTCGTATCATTTTTATTGGCCAAACCAAAGGATTGACTAGTTGTTTGATTAAAAGCAGATTTAAAATTATAAGAACTTCATTTGGATTGTTATTATTATTATCACTACCACTCAATTTCTTTACAGAGACACTTGACACTCGTCTCAATTTTATTGGTGGTTCACCGACCTTCGACGTTTAACGTTATCAATTTTTACTTGATTATCCACAGCATCGCATTTGAAGGTCGGATCTTTCTTGTTATCATCTTTGATCTGATCAACTTCTCGATCAGTTGCATCAACACTTGAATTGTTATTTACAGGTTTTTCACAAGGATTTTTGGTATCTCAGGTTTAAGGCCCAGATAAATTGCCTTCTCACAAGAATTGCACATGTAATATCCAATAAAAATGTTAAAATCGCGAGCTCGACTAGTTGTAATTAAAACTAAGTTTTTAATAACGTATTTATGATTCTTTTATGTAATGGATTGCAACATTTATTCACTCGGCCCAATTTAAATCACAAGAAATATTGTTAAAATAAATTAAAATTATAATATTAATGGATTAGTAAACAGAACACAAATTCACAAAACCTCAGCTTTTGTTTTTGTTAATTATTTAACTTATATGCGCATGAATTTATTTAACGAATAAAGTGGAACTCCTACTAAAATTATTTTGTTATTTACGTGGATACGTAAGTAACAAATGAAAATCGTAACCAAGCAGTTTTTTTTAAGTCAAAATGAAGTACTTACTAGTAAATTTAAAAATGATAGCTCACTGATTTACCAAGTAAAAATAAATATAGAATAACACGGTTTTGTAAAATTTATAATTAAGTATTTCCTTATTTTCTTTGTTTAGAATAATAATACAAAATTATTTTATTGCACTGTTTATAATATTGTTCGAACGAATAAAATTTATTATTAATATTTTGAATTGTTATTTTTGATTATAAATGACCAAAGCTGCAATTTAGCCTGAGACGCTCGGCCGCGCGGTGATCTGACAGCGCCAGGCGCCCGGAGTACTATGATTAATAAATTCATATTGTTTAAACTAATAGCGAGCAGTGAGATTTTCTTTCGGAATATTAAACTTAAATAAATAATGCATGTAACCGATTAAATAAAACTTCATTTTTTTACCGAGATAACAATTAAATTTTCATTTGTTTATTTAAAACTTAATTAACAATATGATAATAAACAAATAATTTTAAGTTATTAATATTTTATTAAACTGTAGATATTTGACAATAAATTCTGAAAATTTCATTAATTTATCTTTAACGGTTGATTAAAAAATCAATTTTTTAATTAAAAGTACTCAAAATTTTCATTGTTAAAAAATTATTGTTAAAATCGAAATTTTGAAAAATTGTTTGGGGGATTAATTTTTCATTGTAACTACTTATAAAAATAATACATGGACTTAATTTTTATGATCAAGTGGAAAATAGGGGGTTCACTTGACGTGATCTTGCTCATATACAAGTGTTAAGTCACTTAGGTGCATTTATTAGTACAAGCCTAAGTATTTGTTTAATATTATGTTGTCATATCATGTATATTGTATATAATTGAATTGAATTCATATGGTTCTTAAATGTCAAATTATTGTCTTAAATTTCAAATTATATGTATACGAGAAAAAAAAGCTCTTGTAATTCAGATTGCAATATTAAATAAGTTGTATGAAAATGACATCTGTCGTATTGAAAAAACCGGTTGGTCAAGTCACTTTAACATTTAGGTTTGAAGCATTTAATAATAGAAAAATATTGTGTTAAAAGTCCCATAATATTAGAAAGCGATGAAGATTTTAAAAAGGATACTTTAAAAATATGGAAACAGGAAAACCAAGATCATTGGATGCAGGTTTCATCTTGGCCAAGCTTGGTACAGGAAAATAAAGACTTTAAGATTGGCTAAAAAATATCAAATTGAAAAAAGTGGAACTAGAAAATGGATGGTGTATATTTTGGATTTTTTTTTAACGTGAAGAGATTTAGTTGAATTTCAGCCCAATCATATGTCTAAAGTTACGGTAGACTTAGCTGATTATTTAGTAAAAAATTATATTGAGGACAATTCTTTATTTTCACCAGCACTTTTGGCTTATTTAATTTAAATTTTTATTCAATGCGTACAGTTTGTATTTATTCGAAAATGTTTCGAACATATACTTATATTCACATTCAAAGTGTCAAAGAGCCAGTTAAATGCAATAACAAAATTGTCAGACGTAGACTAAATAAGTTATAGCATATAACAATGGCTTTTTAAAACGAATTGATTTTGTAAAATTTGCATCATATTTCCATAAAGTGTAGATATTAAATGTATATATGTGGAAGTATTATTTTCTCAAAAAAAAAAATAAAAATATTATTAACCTTTTCTGTTATCTTTTAACAAAAATTTATCTGTTTATAACATTACTAAACAACTTCTATAACTAATAATTTTATTAATTTACCAGGAATTTAATTTCATAATAAATATAAGTATCATGAATATTAAATTTGAGGTGACCTCTGTAATTGATGCGATTTATTAAACCTTCAATGGTACATAAACAAAACAAAAGATATCTAATTGGTTTTGTAAAACATATTTTGGTGTCAGTCTTACCTGAAACAAATGTGCGCATATCGGGAGATAAAGAAAGAGACATAACATCTCCCGTATGTCCTAAGAATGAAGTAACTTGTTGACCAGTCTCGATATCCCACAGGGCACAAGACATATCCCCTGAGCTGGTGACGATCTGGTTGTCATCCAAGAAGCGGCAGCAAGATAGGTAGCCGGTATGGCCAGGCAGTTCTCTGCTGACCCTCACGTTACCTTCTCTAGTTTTTAGGCTATAGATAGAGCATATATTATCTAGACCACCACAGGCTACAAAGTTGCCGGAGGGTGCGTAAGCGCAGGTCATCACCCATGATGATCTGAGAGGGATTGCATGAACCTGAAATTTACAAATATAGTCTGTTAGTACCCTGTATATAATTTGATGGTGAATTAATACTTTAGTAGCAGGAGGGATCGGCCACAGACATTTTATTGAAATTTATTCTCCATCAATACAAAATAAAATAAACATTGAGAATATGAAACCTAAAAAAACATTTGTTGCATATTTTTCTGAATATTCTAAATACTGTAAATAATAATTCTAGATCGTACAAATCACTAGAAATAAATTAAGTTTTATTTTCAATGTACAAAATATCTTTTTCCACTGTCTCGTTAATTTCTACTTCTTCAGAGTCATCATTGGGAATTTAATGCAAGAAACTCAAATACTAAATTCTATAATATTTGTAATTATAATCATTATTAATTAAGGATCTATAACGTACTATATATCTAGTAATGAAATGTTTATTTTTTAGAAATTAAACTTCTGTTGTCATTAATGAATCAAAGAATACGTTTTATAGTCCCTAATATTTAAAATATATTTTTTAAACACATAAGCTGGCATGAAAATTATTACAAGTTATTTACTTTTTATGCTCCTGCATCCAAAAATATACATTTAAAATTAAGGGGATTCAAATATCCAAAGTTATTTACATTTTAATCTTAAAATAAATCCTACAAATGAATGGTTCAGTGTATCAAGGTTAAAGATCATTTCTTTTTTAGTTAGTTTTCTAAGTAAATCATCATTCACAGTATATATTTGTCTAATAAGTAAGTAAATGTTTCCTGAAATTACTGAGTGTTTCAGTTTCTAAGAGATAATGGTAATGAATTAACAAATTTAATGCTGTTATATATTACTAATTCTTTGACCAAGGTAGTTTTCGTTATAACCAAAGCCAAATCTCCAGAAAATCTAGCAGATCTATTATTATTTGCATAAGAATTTATTTTTATAAATTAAGAGGATTGTTTTTTAGAAAAGAAATTTATTAAATAGGTAATCCTATTATGCATTATACAATATTAATTACTTATAGATGTAATATAAAATAATGAGATAAAATAAAAATGTACACAGAAATATAAAAATTTAAAAGAAGATTGATCAGAGGTGTGTTCATGACATATTTTGTTAGATATGGTTTAGTAACATTTTTCTAAACCAAATGCTGTTTACAGTGTTTATCTCATATGGAAGGGCGTTCTAACAAACTATTATCGTCTGGACAAGTAAAATTGCATCTACTTCATAGAAGTACCTTTAATATCATAATATTGAAGCTTATACAGGAGCAGTATGTGGCTCATGCAATCAAATGCTTTTTTGTTAAGTCACAGCAGCTTCACCTATATTAATGCTGTTGTGTTATATTTTGTAGGACATGCTATATATTGTGCTATGTAATAAACATTATATATAGATTGTTGTCACTTTGACATATTTTAGTTAATAAAAGTTGTCTTAATTCTGGAGATACTTTATTACAATGGCGCAGTCAGAAAACGAATTTAAGCCAATAAACTACAACAAAAATGTAGATGAGGGAGCTGGTAATCATATTGGTTTATCAAATCATGGAGCACGTCGAAATAACAACAACATAGGTATCGACAAGGAATACCTAAACAACATGATCTGTCAATGGCTAAGACTAGCTTTGACTTCCAAAAATAATGTAACCATTCCATTATTTACCGGTATCAATACAGACCCAAATTCATGGATCAAATCTTATGAATTCATGACAGAATCGAATAACCAGAATACTGGGAAAGATAAGATATTCAATCGTAGGTTTAGTATGGATGGAATTGCACTAAAATGGTATGAAAAGATGTGTCAGAACAGTGTCAATGAAAATATCAAATGGTCGGATTGGAAAATGAGCTTCATAGAGGATTTTGATGAAGATATAGTATCCAAATGGGAAAAGGCAATTAATTTCAAGTTTTTCAAAGGTTGTCTACTGGAATATTTCTATGAGAAATTCAGATTGCTGAACTGGACTGACAATGCATTATCTGAAGAATACATTATAGCTCATATCATATTAGGTCTACAATTTTATATTCAATAACAAAGTTGTAACAATACTCTTAAAAATATGAAGGACCTCTTTCAAGCTTTAAAATTTGTTAATATTAGAACAAACGAGAGACAAAATTTCGGAAACCAGATATAAAAATGAGATACCAGAGCAAGGTGGAAGAAAAGAATATAGAAGAGGAGCTGAAGAAAAATACCAGGTAGATGTGAAAACAAAATTTTGAAATACAATAATTGTAACGAAATTGGAAATGATGAAATAAATGAATTAGAACTTTATTCAAATTTTCCAAGCTTCTTAGAAAGAAACGAAAATGTAATATAAATTTTACTTAATTATGACATAATTATACATCCTTTAATAGATACAGGCTCAGATTTAGATATAATAAATAATGTTATTATAAAAAATATATTAGAGATTTGAACATCACTTAACCCATTAGGACCACGGATACCATACGGTATCGCAAAACATATGTAGAAAGATCCCTACTCTGTGGAGAGTAGAAGAGTAGGAGAGTCGTGTAACCTTCGCAGTTCAAGTGTAAGACACCAGTTTTCGATTTTCAGTCACTATCTGAGTGGTTATATACTTGTTTTAGTGTCATTGTAAATTTGGTTTGACCGCATATTTTCTTTCGGGCGAAATAATGGATATTCGATGGGCGTAAGTATATTTTTGTTATCTTAGCAACTTTTTATGTAAACCATTGTTATGTTATTTGATTTGTAAGGACCCATTACACATTTCTATATCAATGTGGTGAATATTTATTTTCGATAGCCCACACTATAATGTCCAAAAGTTAAGTGATACCATATGGTATCCGTGGTCCTTTGTGTATAAAAATACCTTATATAGTAAATCTATAAATACTTGTTTCAGGCGAGGGTTTTCGCTTTCTCAAGCATTAGATATGTTAGAGGATGATAATGAAATGCAAGAACATGTGGACGAAATTTTTATAACTCCGCCAGAAGTCAACGCCGCTTCGGATGAGGATTCTGCAGATGATGATGATGGGGGGATGATTTACAATCTTACAGGTATATTACATTTTATTTCATTTTACCCTAGATAACAGTTTATTTCTTATATAGGACGCCAGTTACGAGCTGAAGCTGAAATTAAACTAACAAATAATGACAGAATTACTGGAGTGTTGGACAACACTGATGTAAGTTTTAAAATACATGTAAGTAGTACTGATTTTTAACTGTAGGTGCATTGTAGGTATTACCAGGTACCTCAGATATTCCACCACATCCAACTGCAGATGATCCAATCTCAGAACAAGTAACCAGTTCTGTTTCACGGCACAGGGAATGGATAAAAAATCGTATTGGACTTAAAACCAAAAAAATCAACCCAGTTTGGATAAAAGGTGATTTAGAACCTTCAAAACGGGATTTTCTAGTAGGTGATTATTCACAGTACAAAAATATGTCCCCCACTGATCTTTTTGAGTTATTTTTGGACGACGATATCTTCCAGCACTTAACTGAGCAGACCCAGCTATATTCCTAGTACAAAAATGAAGCTAACCCAGGTATCATCAATTCAGAAATACGTTGTTTTGTTGCTATTCTCATTTTAAGTGGGTATAATAATTTGCCTCAAAAAAAATTATACTGGGACATGAAGGAAGATGTTCATAACAATATGGTAGCGAATGCCATGAGGAGAAATAGATTTATTCAAATTCAAAAACTGATTCATATGGCAGACAATACTAAAATCAATGAATCTGACAAAGCTTGGAAATTACGACCACTTATGAACAAAATAAAAGAAAACTGGCTAAAGCACTTTCAGCCAGTTCAAAATTTGTCATATGATAAGTCAATGGTGAAATATTACGGCCGCCACCGATGTAAGCAGTTTATCCGTGGCAAGCCAATTCGTTTTGGCTACAAAATGTGGAGTCTAAACACACATAACGGTTATCTCATAAATTTTGATCTGTACCAAGGAAAAGATCCGCGTGGTGATGCCGACTTCGATGAATTGTTTGGAAAATGTGCGTCGCCCTTGGTACTTATGCTTCATGAGTTATATCAGCAATATTTACCATATATTATTCATATGGATAATTTATTCACTGGTCTAAATTTACTTGCCTATCTAAAGAATCTGGGCTTTGGTGCAGTTGGTACTATAAGGGAAAATAGAATACCGACGTCATGTCCACTAACAAATAAAAAACACTTTCAAAAGGAACCTCGTGGTAATGTTGAATACTTCATAGAAAAAAATGATGGTATTCTACTAGTTAGGTGGATGGACAATGCAGTTGTCACAATTGCGTCTACAAGTGGAGGCGTTCATCCATTATCATCTGTAAAGAGGTACAGCCAAAGAGAAAAGAAACATATAATGGTTTCTCGTCCTAATTGTATTTTATCTTACAATAACAACATGGGAGGGACTGACCTTATGGACCAAGGAGTAGCGAAATATAGAATTGGAATACGCGGAAAGAAATGGTACTGGCCACTATTTACCTGGCTAATTGATGTTGCTGTACAAAATGCATGGTTTCTATGCAAACAAAATCAAAACATATCTAATCTGGACTTCAGACGAGAAATAACTCAAGTCTATTTAGCTAGGTATGGAGTTAAACCAAAAATGCCTGGACGTATAAGCATTGCCAAAAACATTGTACCAGATATAAGGTTTGATCGAATGGACCATTTCGTTGTTACATGTCAAAGGCGGCGTTGTGCTGGGCAAGCATGTAAGTCATTTGGTAGGACCATGTGTCAAAAATGCAACGTTGGACTTTGCGTCAGTTGTTTTGCTTCGTATCATACAAAATAACATGATTTATTGTTAATTTCATAATATAAAGTTTTTTTTAGAAATTAACAATAAAAGTAGCCTTTAAAGACCACGGATACCATATGGTATCAGCGTTTTTTTTTTAACCCGTATACTGAATTTGAAAAAAAAACTTATTTTGGGTCATTTTACTATCCAGTTA